TGCTTCACTGTATCTGTGGGCCAAAAGAAATAGCCAACTCTTCCATTTATTAAGTAATCAGGTCCCAGATAGGTTAATGAGCACACATGTCCTAACAAAGTCATGCCTGTTGATCACTGCACACCTTCGCAGACCTTGGAAGCATATCACACACCACAACCGTCCTCATTTCTGTACCACACTGATTTTCAAGTGGTGCTTGTTTTCATCCCAGCAGTTATTGGAAACCCTGCTTTGATGTGATGTGGTCATTGGAAACCGTATAGTAATCTAGTGTTGAAACTGTGGACTTATCTCAAGCTACCAGTTTCCCCACAGATATTGCTGTGATTCCTATGAAAATGTAAAATATCCAGAGACACCCCTCTGAATTCACTGTGGTACCCTGAGGTGCCTCAGCATACACTTTGAGAACTGTGGTGCTAGACCAAGGCAAGATATGAAGCCAGCTTGAGGCAGATTAGTGGCCAGAGAATTGGAAAGAAGGGGGAAAATTTGAATATGTGTAGAAGTGAAAAATTTGGACCAGGGAAAACTGATCCAAAAATGGTGAAGGAACAGGGTGTGGGGATGGAGAAAAGAGGTCTGAAAAATGAAATTTGGGACCTGGATGATTGGAGAACTCCCATGTGGTAGATGGCTTTAAGGACTCACTTTTTTTTTTTTTTTAAGATTTTATTTATTTGAGAGAGAGAGAGAGCGAGAGCAGGAAAACAAGCAGGGGGAATGGGAGGAGAAGCAGGCCTCCCGCCGGGTAGGGAGCCCCATGTGGGGCTTGATCCCAGGACCTTGGGATCATGACCTGAGCCGAAGGCAGACGCTTAACGACTGAGCCACCCAGGCGCCCCCATTGATCACATATTATTCTAAAAGTTTTATACACATTGATCTCTACAGCTCTTTACAATGGTGAATCCATGATTTCTGGGTATTTGCTCCCTAAGTTCTCGACCATGGCCCTCCTCTGCATGGATCCCATGGGCCAGGATTGCTGAGGTAGACTGGGTGCCTTGAGGCCCAGTGTAACAGGCCTACTTAACCACTCTGAAGTCAAAGGAAGGCTCAGTCTTCACTGCTCATTGACCCAATTACTTGCTCACACCTTAGAAAGAATAGTACAAGTGTGAGTTTCCGTAGGGGTGAGGCAGATCTAGAATAGAGACAGACTTCATCCTTCCTGTTGAAGGCAAATAAATGTAAGTTAATAAAGATCCCCAAATGTGATCTACTTATGAATACCATAATTAGTTTTCAGTGGGATATCCATTTCTAGATGCATGGGTTTTTGTTTTTGTTTTGTTTTGCATTTGTTTTTCCCTGTGTTGCCTGCCCACCTGTCCATCTGGCACGAAGCACAAGCCAGGCTTTCATCACTGTGCAGTAGTTGCAGATGGACCCTGAGGGAGCAGCAGTTCTCAGCAGCCCCAGAAAGGCCTCTGGGGGCTGGGGATTAAATGCTAGTCCTAGGTCTGGCTCTGAGGTGCTCTGTCTTTAGATAATCTGTTTTTCTCCCTGTGGTAATATGCACTCTAATCCTTAACTTTATACATCTTCTACTGCTCTGTACACTGCAGGAGTAACACATGTTCCTGCTTATATTTTTAGCCCATCTCATATTTCTTCTGTATCCCTTAAGTCAGACAAGCATGACTTGTGGGCTGCATCATAAAGCAACTTGATTTTTGTCTTCTGGTTTCTCTTTAAAATGTCTCCATGGGACAGATTGTTTCCCTGCCCGTGGCTGAACTCAGTCAGGTGCCAAGACTTTTATGGACCCTCTTAGGTGTCAAAATCCAGTCTCAGTACAGTTGTTAAAATGTTCTGTCCAAGGTGATAATCAAAACTTTGAAAGTTGTGGCTTCCCTCCTTTTTAAGCTTGGGCTCCTGGAAGTAAGAACCCTCTGGCCAGGGAATGAAAGCAGGGTCACCTTCTTCTTTCCTGTTTCTTCTACTTGGGCTCGTCGCCAGCCTCCATACCTATGCCCCAAGTTGGGCAACTGTTTTCTGGCCCCACTGGGATTAGAGCATGAAGAGGGAGGAAAGAAGAAGGCAGTAAGAACATTGCTACTTGTCTGATACTGCTGTGATTAAGCGGAAACTTCCACCTGGGGGGCACTTTCCAGAGTCTTTCAGAAAGCTTATCCTCATCACCAGGCATCTGTACCCAACTGTTCTCTTGATGCGGCCAAATGCATCTCTCGTTTGCCTGGTGCTTTGCTTTTCCTTGGCCCCTAGGAACCTGACAGTATTCTCAGCTTCCCTGTGTTGAAGTCACTTTGTCCCACCAGATTTTCTTTTTAGAAAGGATCCAAAATGACCCTACACATCTTTCTTGAGCGGCCCATACCTGCTCTATAGAAAACCCTCAAGCATTTTTTACCTTGATACATCCTGGGGGAAGGGGGCAGGTTGTCCCCAACCAACCAATTCTTGCTTTGCTCGGCTGTCTGCTGACTAGTTCACCCATTTCTTGCCCTTTAGAACTTCAGGTGGGATTCAGACATAAGCCCCCTGATAGGTTAAACTCACTGGTGGTCCCTGCAAAGCCTCCCCCCCTTTTTTTTTTGACTGAAGGTTAGGAGATGGGGCTCACAGCTCAGTTCTCTTTGAAGAAATCCTCCCCGATCACCAACTCCTGACCCTTTCATTTCTCATGTGTGAAAGACTTAAGAGTTGTCTCACTTATTTTCTTTGTAAATTCTTTATCTAGTTCCTCTATTTGAAGTTTGCTATCTATCCTTCCTCAGTTGAAATGTCTATTTTATTTTTTAAAAGTTATTTATTTATTTATTTTAAGTGATCGCTACACTCAACGTGGAGCTCAAACTCATGATCAAGAGTCACATGCTCTTTCAGCTGAGCCACCCGGGCGCCCCCTGAAATGTCTTTTAATATTTGTGATAAGATATCACTTGTAGGGCGCCTGGGTGGCTCAGACGGTTGAGCGTCTGCCTTCGGCTCAGGTCATGATCCCGGGGTCCTGGGATCGAGTCCTGCATCGGGCTCCCTGCTCCTTGGGAGCCTGCTTCTCCCTCTGCTTCTCTCTCTGTCTCTGTCTCTCATGAATAAATAAATAAAATCTTTAAAAAAAAAAAGATATCACTTGTTTATTCAACTAGCATTCAGCTCCCACTAGACCAGTGCTGTAAACAGAAATATAATGCAGACCACATACATAATTTAACATTTTCTAGCAATTAGATTAAAAACAAGAAACAAATGAAAATAATTTTTAATAATAATCTTATTTAACCCAATATATCCAAAATATTATTATTTCAGTATGAAATCAATATTAAAAATTATTAAGGAGTTATTTTACAGTCTTGTCTTGCACTGAGTGTTTGAAATCTGGAAATTATACTTGCTCCACATTCCAGTTTGGACCAGCCACAAATGAGTGCTCAATGGTCACAAGTGTCTGGTGGCTACTGTAATAGACAGCATGGCGGTAGACTGTGAGCTCTACGGGTAAGACTGGTGTTCTTCTTGGTCATTACTATATACCATAGGCCAAACCCTAGATTTTTGTGAAATTGAACTGAAATATAATAGAATGAAGAAATTATCCAGGGAATTGTTCAACAGCTTTCCATAGCATAGTCTAAATCACTCAATTCTGCATACATTTAGTTAGCCCACATGAAATGTAATTCATTTATTCCACAAGCATTTATGCTTCATAAAGGCAGAGGTGTCTTTGTCTTGTCCCCATGATCCACTGTAGTTTCTAGTTTTGTGATATGGAGGTTCACGTAGTCAATGAATATTTATTTAGTGTCCATGCCGGGCCAGTTATTTTAGGTGCTGGGGATCCTGTGTTGAGTAATGTCTCGGTCCTCAGGGAGCTCACAGACAATACAAAGTCATAAGGGCTATGAAGGAAAGACAGGGTGATGTGATAGGGTGTGACTGGGGATGGGCGGGTAAGGGATGAGGGAGAAGTTGCCAGTCCTTTGAAGAGCCAGGGGAAGGGCAATCTGATTGTCTCTTCCCACGGTCCTACAAGCTGTCTCCTTTTCAGCTACATTGGCCTTTCATTTTCTCTAACATTCAAATTCATTTCTTTTAATTTTCTGTCTCTTTTGCCTCTGTTGCTGTCTTCCTTGCTCTTCTCTAGCCAGTGTCTTCTCACATCTTGGCTCAAATGCCATCTCCTCAGTGTGAACCTCTCTGACTACCCTGTCTATGGGGCATGTTACCTTAGACACTTCCTGTCCTATCACCACATTTTATTTATTATCATAAACTGAAACAATCTTGCTTATTCATCTGTTGTCTCCCACACCACAAGGAAAACTCTAAGAAATTAGGGACTTGTCTTCACAATTGCTGTACTCCAGTGGCTAGAAAGGCGCTTCTATGACAAATGTATGACTCATAATTAGTGATCAATAGATATTTATTGAATGAATGAATGTCAAGAGTTAGTTAAAGTCTTTTGGAGATATCTCAAGGCAGGATATGAATGAGGCCACAGTCTAAATGAAGTCCAGGAGGAACCACACTGTTTTTAATAATCTGTGGTCTCTAAGAAGGAAGATGGTGTTAATGCAAATAGAAATTCTTCTTTTGGACTGTCTTGGGTTCTGGTTCTGGCTCCTTTGAGAATCTATAGTTATGGACCATCCTACTGCGTAAGTGGACATAGATTTTTACATATAAACTTAAAGGAATTCATGGACATTTTACGTGAAGATAAAATTGGTGTCAAGTTAAAAATTTCTGTGGAAATGAGAACCCTCACAGTAACAGGGCGAGAGAAATGTTTTATGAGATAACGCATGGAGCACATTTCAAGAGCTAGGACGGGTGCCTGCTGGAGGGTGCCTTTAGGGAGAGAGGGTGTCCGAAGAATTCCTGAAAACCAAGTTCATTTCCACCAAACAGCTCTGCGCGGCAGTTGCTAAGGACGCTTGCCTTCTCCAATCACGCTGCGGCTTGCTAGGCTGCCCGGGGCACCGTGGTTGCTGTGGCAACGGATGGCAACGGCTGCGTCCCGGACGCCGGAGGAGAGCCGGCGGCTTGGAGCCGGGTGCGGAGCTCTTTGGCTGCGGCGCCTGTGAGTTGGACGCAGGGTCTTGGTGGGGAACAGGACACAGAATGGACAGGCAGTCGCAGGTGTACCGGGGTCGGAGGTCCGTGCAGTGATCAAGGGATCACAGTGCGAGGGGCTTAGGGACTGGCCGGGGCATCCCCTCCTCATGTTCCCACCCTTCATCTCAGGGGTTCCCCAAGCTTTCCAGACCCCGCTCCTCCTCAGCCTTCCCTGGCCCCTTCTTATTCCCATTAAAATAGCAGAACCTCCGACCTTGGTGTTCACTTTGCTCCTAACTTCTATTTAGCCACGAGGCCTTGGGCCAATCATTTTCCGCATTTTCTCGGCCAGGTAGGGTGCCACGCCTCCACCCTTCCATTCCCTCCCCATTTCCTTCCCAGGAAGACTGTGAGCATCAATGACTGACCAATGCACCCTCAGATGTACTTCTCCTCTAGGGTTACACTTCGTAGCCACGGTCCTGTGAAGTGATTTTAATGATTAGCCGGCCTTTACTGTGGAGCATTCTGGGTTCAGAGAGTGCCGCATGATGACAGCTGGTGAGCGGTCGTTGCTAAGACTCTTAATCACCACCTGTGCTGGATGCCAGGTGTATTGTCCTCGTGTGTGCTCACCTGTTTACCTTGGATTTGTTTCTTGCTCCTTTCCTCTCCTGGGTCTTGTCCTTTTCGTTTCATAATATTTCAAATATTATGTATTTTATCAAGATGATTCTTCCCCACTCTTCTTTACTCTGTAAAGTAATTAAGGTCCTACTTCATGTCCAGGACTAAGGTAGGTGTTCTGCTGGAAAGAAAAAAAATACTGTTACCCACAGGATCTATGTGCCCTTGATGAGGTTATATGGTGGAGTCATATTTTTCTGTATAAGGTTCAGAAGTCAGTGCTAATAAGATCAAAATTGGATGCAGTCAAAAATATCCCTGGACAGTCCCTTTAAATCACCTCCAGCAATCCAATTCAGAAATTGAGCCATTGAAAAGCTTTCATTCTGAGAATATTTAAAATTCTAATTTATAAACTTTTCCTGTATGTCTTCATAAGTTAGTAGAAGGATAAATTTATTAGTTCCATTATGTCTTTACTCTAAATTTTGCTGTGGCCCACATTTCATACTTCAGTTTCTTTCTTGGCAATGTCGAGGAGGCTGGCACCTTTGAAAGGCTTCCTGGGCATCACTCTTTGCTTATTGGGCTGGTGAATCCTTAGTATCCTTCATGGTACCTTCCTTGGTGTCCCCAGTGTGCACTGGACTGACAGACTGTTCCAGCAGACATGACACCAACACTAGCATTTTCAGGACTGTCTCACCTCGTCCTACAACCCACTGACTGGAACAGCAAAGACAACCACCCAACTATTTATTTTATTTTTATTTGTTTGTTTGTTTTTAACCACCCAACTCTTTTAAGGGTTATTTTTCTGTCTTTTGATTTAGCTAAGTATAAATATAGTTGGAAGTCCATCATCCCCATTGATGTAACTCTCTTGGGGTTTTATTTTAGAGATTGTATTTGCTCTGCATAGGCAACAACATTTGATATTTCCAGTGTTTGAAGAATTTGCCTTTCTGATGGAAAAATAATGGTTATCACTTTGTTATAATTCACATTTGCCAGATTACCAGTGAAATCGAGCGGTTTATGTCTGTTGACTCTTGATAATTGGTCTTCTGGGGATTGCTGTCTTTATCTTTCCCCAATTTAAATGACCTGTCCTTTTTGTATTGATTTGTAGGATTACTGTACACACCCTGGATATTGATACTTTGTAGGTTATGTTGAGATATAAATTAGTATTTTCTCCTAGTATGTTCTTAGTTATTTTTTAAGGTCAGGTTGATGATGTATTATTTATACACTATAAAATTCACCTCTTTTAGGTGTACAGTTCCATGTTTTTTGAAAAATATATAGTCATGTAACCACATTAATATATGGAATGATTCCATTAGCTCAAAAAGTTCCCTTGTACCCAGTTGTAGTCAATCCACTTTCCCTACCTCCAGCCCCTGGCAACCAATGATCTGATTTCTCTTTCTCTGTTTTCCAGAATATCATGTAAATGCAATCATAAAATATATAGCACTTTTTGTCTGGCTTGTTTTATTTAACACATTGATTTTGAGATTTATCCATGCTGTCGCGTGTAACAGTAGTTCATTCCTTATTGCTGAGTGCTATTCAGTTGAATGGGTGTACCACCAGTCGATGGACTTGGGGTTGCCTCCAGCATTTGGTGATTATGGAATAAATAAAGCTACTGTAAACATTCACATACAGGTCTTTGTATGAACATACGTTATTCTATTTTGGATAAATACCCAGAGTGGGATTGCTAGGTTCTGTGGTAAGTTTGTGTTTAATTTTATAAGAAACTGCCAAACTGTTTTCCAAGTGACTGTCCCATTTTGCACTTCTGCCACCGTAGTATGAGAGTTTTGCTTGCTCTACAACCTTGCCAGCAGGTGACAGTTCTGTTAATTTTAGTTATTCTTGTAGATGTGTAGTGGTGTCTCATTCTGTTTTTGATTTGCATTTCCTTGATGGCTAATAATGTTAAACAACCTGTGCTTGTTACTCTCTTTTGTCTTTGGTGGAGTTTCTGTTCATACCATTTGCCCCTGTCCTATTCGGTTGTCTTCTTATTGAGTTGTTTTTTGAAGTCAATTTTTTTTTTAATTTTGAGGAAGTCCAATTTATCACTGTTTTCTTCCATGGATTATGCTATCTAAAACTCTTTGCCTAATCCAAGGTAACACCGATCTTCTTCTCTGTTTTCTTCTCGAAGTTTGATAGATTTATGTTTTACATTTTATTTCATTTTCATTGTTTTAAAATTATTTCATTTTAATCATTTTATTGTTTTGTTATTTCATTTTATTTTATTTGTATATGAGCAAACTTAGCTTTATTTTGGGGAAGATATAATACCTCTGACTTGTGTGTGAGAATGATCCTATAACCAACCACAAAGTAGAGGGGAAGTTATTATTTGTTATTAATTAGTGGAATAGTTTCACAAACTTCAAAATAGTTTTGAGAATGTTTTTCCACATTAGCAGCAAGAACATTTAGAACATGAAAACTCTCATCAAGTTTGAAAGAAACCCACATAGCTTATGAGTACTGCAGTCATGTTTTAACTGATACACTTTGGGATCTGTGTAAAGTGGAGATTCTTGACCCTAGGAATGTGGACCTTTAGATTTTATGTTTATGTTCATCTTTTCTGGGGAAAGCATTCGGAGCTTTTATCTGATTCCTAGTGGGACTGAGGCCTCAAAGGTCAAAGATTACTGGTTTAGAATGAACACATGTCAGAGCACAGGGGATAGTAATAGACTCGATCATGGTTGCTATCATTGAAAGTGAAGAAATAACCATTTCCTGCAGGCAGTCTCTTCTCAAATGATTCCTTCCAAGATCTGTTCCCTCATTAACACTGCAGAGGCACTTAGCATTTGGTTGATCTTATATAAAATGTCTTGCAAGGGGAATGAGGGCTTGAAATAAGGCAAAAATGATTGTCGAATCATGGCGGGGAGTGTTTCAGTTTGGGCAGAGAAGGATAAGTGAGAAATTGGCAAATCACCAGATGCCTCCACTGTGATTTCATTTGAAAAACTGTGCAGTCAGTCTTTTCATTTCTTTGAGGATTTAAAGTGCTTAAGTTCTGATTTTTTTTTTAAGAGTCATAGTTACCCCTTGTGATGGTAGGAAAGAAGAGTGGGCTTTTAAAAAATGTTCTTGACTTAAAGAAAATGTTCTTTGCTTGGTTGAAAAGCTTGTCAGAAAGTATATGATCTTGTCAAAGTAGTGATCTTCTTCTTACAATGAATACCATAGAGTCAGCTTGGTTGACTTTAAAGAAAAGTTAGTGTGAAATGACTAAGGAAGAAATCTCTTGTAATTTCTTGGCAGTTCATAAATCTCCTGCATTTTATTTGGCATCTTCTTGCTTTAGTAGGCTATCTAAAATGTCCTGAATGTAAGGTTGCTCTAATAACATTATGATCTGACTGTGTCTGTGTCTGTTTTTATTTCTTTAAACCACTATTGTAAGCCCAAGTTAAATAACTTTGCCTAATTCTATGTTCTGTATAACTATGTTGTTGATGCCTGTTTCTATTGTAAACAATCCACCCCAAGTTTGCAGCTGTGGCTTTGAAAAATCCCTAATTAAAATAAATTTCAAGGTTAAGGTATTTTTATTCATGCCTGAAAACAATTACCAATACTTGTGGCTCCTAAAATAATAACAGTGTTGTAAGCATATTTCAAAACCAGGAAGGCAGAGATTTGTGTTTATGAAAGCCAAAAAATTAGTCTTGCAATACTTTGGAATGTCCCTGGTAATTAATTATAGGTGATGTGTATTATATGGAACCTCAAAGATTTTAGCAGGGAAAAAAGGGGGCCTGATGTATTTCATTTCTGATATAATTCCTGCCACTCTCAGAGGGAATTAAAGTTTAATAAAAAGGAATAACAGAGGGATATAATCTAAGAATAGTAATTAATAACTTTAGCTTTACCAGAATGAGATTCCATAATAAATGGTAGGCTGTCATTTGCTAAATCATGAAATATTGTAGAGGGAAAAGGCAACATACTCTTCCACGATATGGCTCATCATGTTAGAACTGTTAGTGGTAGGGGAGTTTTGTACTTGTTAAGCATTTGTGTTTTTACATCGCTGCTTGTAATTACAATTAAACAGATGGTTCCTGAAAAGATAGTGTGTTCTTAGCAATTAAAACCATGGCAAGCAGCTTTTCCTCTTCCCCAACATACAATTAAACTGAATGGAATCACACACCCTGTGGGTTCTTCAGAGGAAAGGTTCTGTGCAAATTCAAGTAGATTAGTATTCTGTTCCCCAGCCCTGTCATCTTGCCCCTGCAAACTGAGAGCTTCGCAGCTGCAGAGGACTTCCAAACGTGGATTTTAGGAAGCAGTTACCCCTTCTCTGCTTTCTCCCTGAATCCTATTATTGCCATA